ATCGATACATCGATGTTTCGATGCATCGGAAATGTGAACATCGATGCTAACGCTGACGACACACAATCAGTTTTTGTCTTTCAATTTCCCCACACACATTGCACACACATTAAAAAATCATCAAAACGGAAAGCCATTACGTAAGCAGCATTCAATTTGAGAAGCAATTTCATTATCAACATGTCGCCTTCAAGAAAACAATATAACTAACTAGCTTCTTAGAACATTTTCCATCTTAATTCCATTGTAGATTAACATTTTAACATGCATAAGCTTAGTATTTTTTTATTTTCACAAAATTCGAATGCCAATGCTGAAAAGCTGATCAAAGTTGAAAGCAAAATTTAAACTCAATTGAAAGAGAAAAATTGAAAGCAAGCTGCTCATTCAACCAATAAATAAGAGTGGGTTAGTGAAAAAGTGTGAAGGCCGGTCCACATAGAACTTTTGCGTTGGCTTTGGCGTTGGCGTTAGTTTGACAGAACGCACGTTAAAAGTATGCTTGCTACAATGAACGCATGGCAGCGAATGCTTGGGCCACTAAATTAATATACTAACTACAGATAAATTAATATTTCATATCAATAATTGCATTAAAAACGATATTCCTTGCCCGCACTTAATTAAAAAGGGAAAATATTTCACACAATTTTATTTATTTGCAATAGCTGACGAGCAACACACGCGAAAAGATGAGAGTTGGCCATCTTTTTGCTTTGTGTTGGCGTGAGCGTTGCCGATTTCTGGCTACGTTGACGTCTGCATTTGAATTCATGTATTCATCGTCAGCTGTTGAAGCGACGCCAACGCCAACGCAACGCCAAAGTTTTAGATGGACTGGCCTTAAGAGTATTGAGAACTGGAAGGGGAAAATTGAATGTGTATCGGCCCGGTAAAATACATCGACAGAAAAACATCGATATATCGATGGATTCCGATGTTTCACATTTTGTTAGGTTGTAGTCACATTAAAAGGAGAATTTAAAACTTTTCAATTCCAACTCTCTGTAATTCAATTAGAAAACCCCTTCATATGGATGCATTTCCCCGTATTTATTTACCATTCTTCTACCCTTCTTATAAATCATGGATAACTAGATAGATGAAACTCTTTCTCGTGAGAGGGCTGTCGAAGTGTGTATTTTTTATAACATTCTCCAGTAGAGCCACTGTGACGAAAACATGTATGGGCATTTATAGAGAAATTTTAGATTAAACACAACGAACAAAAGTTGCAATATTTTTCATATCTGTTTTATATTTCAGTGTTTACATTGCCAGTAAAATCGCGTTTAGTTGCAAATACTGCTTTATAATAATATTAAAAAATGCGGAAAGAAGAAAACCACTGAATTCGATGTGATGCATTTTCCACACATCTAGTGGTAGCTCGCCACTTCGCGTGTCAGCTGTTTATCTGCCCAGGGATTGGCAGTGCTGCCAAGTACGAAAACGAGCTCCTGGGCGCGCTCTCAGAAAAAATGAGAGAGTTTCTTATCTAGTTATCCATGCTATAAATAGAATAAAAATGCATACCGTAGTAGGTTCGCTGAGCCTAAAGTTCCAAGGCCCAATTTCATTGAAATTTCAACGGGAACCCGGGCGAGTTTTAATGATTAAGGCTTTCTGCACATTGGTCGTCCAATCATAGTTGCTTCGTCGTCACAATCATGATGCAACGATTACATGACGACTACACTTTCGCACACTCGGTCGTGATATTTCAATTCATTCGGCGTCTAAAAATTCACTTGGAGCAGGTATTTTCTGTTTTTCTGATTGATATTTTCGCGAGATATTTACAAAAGGCTGCAATTTTTCAAATATAGATTGTGCTTCAAAAATTTTTCAGTAATACCTCTTCTTTTCTTTTCCTGAAATGTGCTTTGTGCATGCACACAGACACTTTTTACAATTTCGTCATATTTTATAGTAAAAACGCTCACATTTATTGAATTTTAATGCAATTATCCACCTTTTAATAATTTCCACAGATTTTATGTAAAAAAATACTAATTTTTATACAATTTTAATGCGAATATTAACTTTTTCACTAATTTTCCCCCATAAAATGTAAACAAACAATGCGTGCACAACAATTAGCAAAAACCCGTTTCTGCATCTTCTACGATATGCCGATAACGACAAGTGTGCTCATCTCCTTTGAAATGCGTGTGCTCGGCTCAAAATTTCAGGGCGAGACGATAACGCAACTATGATTGGACGACAAGTGTGCAGATAGAGTTATTTATTATATTTTATATTACTGACGTGATAAAGTAACTAAAATATTTTATAATAATACTACGTTTCTAAATATATGTTTTTAAGATGTTTGCTATATAATTTCACACTGTTTTATTCATTGGGGGAAACTTTCCATTATGGCCGTTCGTTAAAGGTGGGGTGGGCGAAGGGGGAGTGGGCGTGGCACCTCCAACCGACCTTTTTGGGAGGGCATGAACCGCCATTGACAAAAATGCAACCCCCGACCTCCTAGGCCCCCTATGGTTCCTACGGGCCCCTTAGAAAAATGGCCAAAAATCGCAATTTTTACTTGCTTCCACAGTATCTTTGCGTAGAATTCCTTTCTGCGTAAGCGGCCTTCGGCCCGCTGATTATAACCCTTACTACGTAGAATTCTCCTTTCTGTGTGACCTAACGGGGCCACCGCCCCAGTGATGTAACCTTGGGAAAGGATGAGGTAACTAGAATTCCCTTTCTGTGTGGTAAACCTGGGGCTGCCGCCCCAATGATGTCTATTTTGGTTACTGGGTGTTTTATAAAAATGTCTTGTATATAAAAATGTGTATATAAAAATGTATTGTGCAAATGAATATTTAACATTTTTCAAGCGAATAAACGCAAATAAAAATTGTAATTTTTGGTAATTTTTCTAAGGGGTCCCTAGGGATCCATAGGGGACCTAGGTGGTCGGGGGTTGCATTTTTGTCAATGGCGGTTCATTCCCTCTCCAAAAAGGTTGGTTAGAGGTGCCACGCCCACTTACCTTTCGCCCACCGCCCCTTTAACGAACGGCCATAAAGGAAAGCCAACCCATTCATTGTAACATTGAATGATTTTTTCAAGACGGCGGCCGCCCAGCGTTGAATTCTAAATAGTATCGGCGCAACCATCTAAATTTTTTGCCATTTCATTTGTTTACATTTATCAGCTGTTCATTTGGCAGCATATTCATCAAACCGTTTCTAAGACGTAATTGTTGGGTTCAACAGTTGCCAGCAGTTTCGTAGCAGATGAGCTAAACAGCTACGTCTTATGAACGCGACCAATGTATAGTCGATTTTAGGAAATTGTAAACATCGATGGCGCTCATCGAAATTTGATCCGATATAATCGATATTTCAAAAATATCGATGAACCCTTTGCCTTCTTAATAGGGTCGCCTCACAGCCATGATTCAACAAATACAGGTTGTAGCAATCGTACAAAAAAAACATTTACCGTTGGTATGAACTCCTTGTGTCATCAACATCTTTATCTATTCATATTCGTATGTATATGTATACCCTGCACACCAGGATTTCATAGAATTCTGTAAGGTTTCACAATTTTTTTTAAGAATTTTCTTTAAGAAATCCTACAGAAATTTCTTACTAGTTCCTGTCAACCGCTTCATATGTTTTTCTCTAAAGATTTCTAAAAGAATCGTAACAAAATTCCGACACTCTTAAAGATTTCGGGTATTTATATACGTATATGTGTATGTATACGCGGATATGTAAACAAAGCAAAACAGACTATAATTGGACACAAGCATGCTCATAAGAAGAAGCATAGCCTCTATCGCTATCACCTGTAATTGATGCGCCTTGGCTCACAGCTTTTGTTCAACTTTTGGTTCAACTAATCGCCTGTGAAAGTTGAATCATGTAAATTCCCTATAAGGTCGGTGTTATGCAGACAAACTTTTGTTTGCCAAATTAAATGGCGGCTGCTTAGTTTGCTCGGAGGTGGTTATGTCGAGTTTGGCACAGGGTTGCACGTTCATTATGGTTTTCATGGCTATTGCCAACACGAAATGAGAATTTCAGATGTACATAACGCGCAAAATTTAAAATTTTTGTATATGACAACACCGAATTTGCTGCAGTTTGACCAAACCAAATTAGTTTGCTGGGAGAGTCACCAAACTCGCTCTCTCCGAGTTTGCTGCAACAACAATTGCACGCAGTTTGCCAAACAAAATTTCTGCATAACACCGACCTAAGTGAAATATCTAAGGGTGGGTAACTCTGTAAATTTTGGTGTGCTGACTCAGTAACTCCAACTCACTTTAATGAGTCAGCACAGAGAGCTGGCACAAGTGTGCTATCGCACAATTGGTATGTGCATCGAAATTATTGACGATGTTAGTAATCGAAATCGATTTAGAAAAGGTTATCCTTAGCTTCTATTCGTAGCTGGCCGGCAAAATTTTAGAAAGCTGATTTCAACTGGTGAGTTCATTTGCGAATAAATTCCCTACTTAGTTTTGCTTGAGAGTTGTCACATAAGAATCTGTTAAATGGGCTATGCATGTAAGCGGTTACCCAACGCATAGCACTTCACATGTAGAATTCTGTTTGGTTTTGACTTTTACGTAAAAAGGGTATAGCAGTGCAAGTATGCATAACTGGGCTATTCGCCTTGCTTCTTGTTAAATTTGGTAGTCGTATATTCAACTGATGGTAAGTCTCGTGACGCCATCTATTATGGTACTTTTTGGAAGATCGTATTGTGTGAATGTGTCAGCTCATCAATTGAGTTACCACATCGACACAGTTGTAAACAATGCAGCCGAACCGAGCTATGCAAGTGTCAGCACATCAACTGAGTTACCATATCGACACTGAAGCACACTGAGCTATACATTGTCAGCACATAAACTGAGTTACTGAGTTACAAATTTTTTCAGAGGTGAGTCTGAGCATGCGGCACATTTCTAAGAGTCAGCACAGTAACTCAGCACAGTGCTGAGTTACCCACCTTTAGAAATATCGCTCATCACTAATCCAAACAAGTGAAATTTTTAAAAATAAAAATTTTGCCCAAATTATTTTGTGGCTTCTTTTATTCTATTAAATGGACTTGGAAAAAATGGTGAGAATTTTTGTAATATGTTATTGATGGTTTGTAATATTTTGGTTTTAAAGGCTCTCAAATCGTTAAGTGCTGAGTCTCCGACACCGCCAAAAATGTCCGTATGTGCAATGCTGGCATTTCTACTTATTACTATTAGTGCTGCTGCTGTGTTAGAATTTTGTTATACTAATCACAGCTTTAATCTTGAAGTTAATACGGAACGGCCAGTTACAAATAATTCTGAAACTTCAATAAAATTTTCAATGTATCCTCCTGTTAAAGCAGGGGAAAACCATCTGCAACACGTAGTGCGATTGTTAGAAGTATTAGGATATACACAAACTTCAATAAATGAACTTGACTGGAATCTACTTTGGGCTCATGAATATCCTTTTCAAAATATCTCAGAAATGATGCGACATCTTTTACCTCATCAAACTGTAAATCATATTCCCGGAATAGGTTTTCTTACGAGCAAAGTGGATCTTTCTACCGCGTCATTACCATTTATGCCTAAAGCCTTCCGTTTGCCACAAGAAAAAGAAGAATTTTTAAAATATACTTCTATCAATCCTGATACATTATTTGTGGAAAAGCACAATAAGCATAGATACATTAAAATTTGTTCTTCTAATTCTATAAATCTGAGTTCAAGTGAGACTTTTTTGCAAGAATTTATTGAAAATCCCTTTTTGGTCGATGGCCACAAATTCGACATTGGAGTGTATGCCGTGATAACATCCGTCGATCCCTTGTTATCATATATATATACTGGAGACGTGCTGTTCCGTTATTGTTCGGAAAAGTATTTCCCTTTCGATTCCAAAAATGTAAAGAAATATGTAGTAGGAAATGACTATGTACCAACTTGGGAAGTTCCTTCTCTAATAAAATACTTTGAAATATTTGGTGGGGGTATGAGAGCTTCTTTCGACGCGTATGTGCGTGATCAATCAATGGAACCGTCTGTCATTTGGACGCAAGTTGAAAACATAGTGCGAGAGACAATATTAGCTAAGAAAAATAATATTGTATTGGCTATGCGACCTTATAAAACTGGTAACTTCTTTGAGCTGCTTCGATTTGATTTAATTGTAGATGATGAACTGAAAGTTCATTTAATGGAGATTAATATGTCACCGAATTTATCATCAGCGCACTTCAAGCAAAATGCATTGTTATATGAGCAAGTTCTGTACAGCGTTTTCAACCTTGTTGGCGTTGGGTCTCCTCTACGGGCTAAACAAAGGTAATTATAGTCCTATTGTAATTGTGTTACTTCAATTAGAGTTTAAAGTACCTAATTTATTTATATATATTTATTTTTTTTTTTAGCCGTTTAGATGATGAAATTATAACGTCTGACAAAAATATTGCGGTAAACTTAAGTGACTGTGCGAAATATTCATGTCATAAATCTTGTTATAAATCGGAGTGCAAGATGTGTTTACCTTGTCTGAAAGGGTCAGAAATTCAAATTTTACGAAAGGCGCATTTTGAGCATTTGCATAAAGTAGACATGAAAAGGATATATCCGAAAGCAGTGGTACGTAAACCATTTAAATATATGAAGATTTAGCCTTTAACCTTTAAGAAAATCGCAGTTTGATTTGCATTTATTTGTTTCGTCTCCTTATTTGGCCCTGTAGCCGCCTAAGCGATTTTTGTGCCAACTGACTCCAATTGGAAATACCAAGTGAAGCCAAGCCCTTCTCCAACTGGCATTTCCATCGCAGGGGGGGGGGGGGGGGGGCTCCCTCTTCCTCTTCTACCACTAGCGGGTTCCGAGTTGAATACTTTTAGAGCTAGAGCGTCGGTGACCATTTAAACGACATTGCCAACCCAGCGGAGCCGCTGTAACTTAATTCGCTGCGATTGTTGTTGTTGTTATAGCGGCTGCAACAACCCCTCCCAGATCGGTTTGTCCCTCAATCGTTGTCGTCAAGCTCTACTCACGGTAGCCCCAGGAAGCGTGCAGCCTCGACGGGGTTTGTCCATAGGGACAGGGGCGTTAGCGAGGTGGGATTTAGAGGACATACGAAGAGATGCTGTGAGTTACGGGGCGACACTGCTGCAGTAAACAGAGCGCCGTTGGGCTATTCTGGTTGGGCGAAATCGTCTGCGGTACTCGCCGTCGCCAACGCGTACGGGCCCGTAAATACCAAGAGCCGCCTCATCGGATGTTGTTGTTGTTGTAGCGGCTACAACAACCCCGCCCAGATCGGTTGATATCTCAGTCGTTGTCGTCAAGTCCCACTAACGGCAGCCCTACGAAGCGTGCAGCCTATATCGGGTCGGTCCACAAGGACAAAGCCGTTTGGGTTGTCAGGTTGTCCGGGCATGCGAAGAGATGTTTCGAGTCAGGTTGGGTCTTTCCGCATGCCGGACACCCATCTGGCACATCCTCATTCAATCTACTTAGGTAGGAGTTTAACCTGCTGCAGTAGCCAGAGCGAAGTTAAGCTATTGTTGTTCGTGTTTCCCGAGGCAGATGAAGCTCCGTCTCGTCTATGTCCGGTGGTGGTGTGCCTAGAACGGCATTCACAGGTCTAGAGTCTACATAACACGAGACTGTGAATGCCGTTCAGGGCCAGTCAGTAAACTAACGGGTCCAGAGGTTGCTTGGCGAGGGCTCCTCTGCAAGCAGCTGTCTGTTTGGGTGGCCACTTCTGTGGCTCCCGATCAGGAACTCCTTGCAGAGCATTATGTTGTGCTCCTTTATGGGGAGCATTTGTGCCTCGTTGTGGAGGTGATGTTCGTGCGACATCAAGAGGCATCCTGTCGCTGTCCCGAGTGCGGTGTTCTGTACAGTCTGAAGCTTCGTCCACTGCGTCATACTAGTCCCCGGCGACCACACTGGCGCTGCGTAATTTATAACCGGCCGACCTATTGCCTTGTATGTTGCCAGCAACGTTTCTTTGTCTTTGCCCCAAGTACTGCCGGCTAGCGACTTGAGGACCTTGTTGCGGCTCTGTACTTTATTGACAATAGCGGTTGCGTGCGCAGAAAAGGAGAGCAGGCTGATGAATGTTACTCCGAAAATTTTGGGATTATTCACCGTCGGAATTGGTGTGTCATCGACGTGAATTCCCAGCAGTAGCCTGACCTGCTTCGTCCAGGTTGTGAACAGGGTCGCAGAGGATTTCGTAGGGGAGAGGGCTAGACACTATGCAGTGAAGAAGCGAGAAAGTTCGGAGAGATGCCCGTTTACTTTCGAACACAGGTCATCAATTCCATTCCCAGTCGCCATGATTGAGCAACCGTCGGCGTAAGAGACAATCGAGACTCCCTCTGGTGGTTGAGGGAGCTTTGAAATGTAAAAGTTAAACAGTAGCGGGGAAAGGACACGACCCTGTGGAAACCCCTGTTTTATTTTTCTAAGTTTACTCGATTTGTCTCTAAACATTACCGACGAGTGTCGACCACGCAGATAATTTGCCGACCACAGTTTGAGCCTCTGTGGGAGAGAGGAAGCCACTATATCTTCTAGTAGCGTGGAATGGCAGACGGTGTCAAACGCCTTTGACAATTCCAACGATACTAGAATCGTTCTCTCACAGGGACGGTTTCAGTTAAGGCCACGAGTTATCGGAGTGTTTATGGCGTTAAGTGCTGTTGTTGTATATGCTTCTGCGCCATAAGTAGCACTTGGCAGGAGGGATTCTGCGTTAGATTTCCATCCAGGATATCACCCTGACATAGGTGCGCTCCTCAGAGGTGACTTTAATGCGCACCACGATCTTTTGGCACTCAAGCCTGTTAAACGATTGTAGGGGACTGACTTGGCTGAGCAGATAGACAATTCGACATTCTGCACAATATCTGACGACGCACCCACCACGATTATGGGCAGCTGCTGAAGCTCGCCAGACATAACAATAGTCAGCGCTGGTCTGATAAACAGCATATCATGGCGACCTATGCTGACTTTGGCATCAGACCATCTGCCCATAGTCATCTCGATGGATAAACCAATCGACTTTGCTTCCGCGGAGCACCGAACATATATCAACTTTTCTAAAGCTGATTGGAAAGGCTTCGCGGAATTTACTGAAAACACCTTCACTGCTCTCCCCACACCAACCGACGTCCACCATGGTGATAGTACGTTCCGCAGGGCTGTCACCGCTGCTGCAGCTCGCTTCATACCGGCAGGATGTATTACGGACCCACGCCCAAATTTCCCTGCTGAAGCGGCTGTTCTAGCCAATGAGCGTGATAGCCTTCGTCAGGTCGATCCCGGAGATCCCCGTATCAGGGATCTTAACGCGGAGATTCGGCAACTAGTAAACGTACATAAGCGGAAGAAGTGGGAAGAGCATCTGAAGAATTGTAACTTCACCTCTGGTGTGAGTAAGCTTTGGTCAACCGTGAGGTCACTGCCCTACGAAGCACGACGACAGAGTCGAAATTTCTTTCGGCCACCATTCTTCGTGGGACCCGGAGCGATGCGCGAGCTATTTTAGCCGGCAGTTCATACTGCATCCTCCGGTGGACAAAGCCAAGCGTCAGTTGACCAGAAGGCTGTACAAACTCCCAACAACCTGTACCCCCCTTGCTTTCACTTGCGGTGAAGTTCAGGTGGCCACCGGGAACGCGAAAGCCTCCAAAGCCATAGGTCCCGACGGCATATGCATGCTGATGCTGAAAAATTTGGGTCCTGCGGGGGTAGCGTACCTAACGAAGGTCCTCAATTTGTCTATGGCCACTCTCATCATCCCAGACATCTGGAAGGTGGGGAGAGTGGTCCCACTGCTCAAACCGGGGAAACCTGCCAACATAGGAGATTCTTATCGGCCGATAACACTCCTTTCCCCGGTAGCGAAGACACTCGAGGCCTTGCTGCTCCCGTATTTCACAAACCACTCGACCCCAGCGAATCATCAGCATGGTTTCCGTAAAGTGCACAGTACAACAACAACACTTAACGCCATAAACACTCAGATAACTCGTGGCCTTAACCGAAACCGTCCCTGCGGGAGAACGATTCTAGTAGCGCTGGACTTGTCAAGGCGTTTGACACCGTCTGCCATTCAACGCTACTAGAAGATATAGAGGCTTCCTCTCTCCCATAGAGGCTCAAACGGTGGTCGGCAAATTATCTGAGTGGTCGATGTTAACAGACAAATCGAGTAAACTTAGAAAAATAAAACAGGGGGTTCCACAGGGTGGTGTCCTTTCCCCGCTACTGTTTAACTTTTACATTTCAAAGCTCCCTCAACCACCAGAGGGAGTCTCGATTGTCTCTTACGCCGACGGTTGCTCGATCATGGCGACTGGAAATGGAATTGATGGCCTGTGTTCGAAAGTAATCGGGTATCTCTCCGAACTTTCTCGCTTCTTCACTGCAAAGTGTCTAGCCCTCTCCCCTACGAAATCCTCTGCGACCCTGTTCACAACCTGGACGAAGGAGGTCAGGCTACCGCTGGGAATTCACGTCGATGACACACCAATTCCGACGGTGAATAATCCCAAAATACTCGGAGTAACATTCGTCAGCCTGCTCTCCTCTGCGCACGCAACCGCTATTCTCAATAAAGTACAGAGCCGCAACAAGGTCCTCAAGTCGCTAGCCGTCAGTACTTGGGGCAAAGACAAAGAAACGTTGCTGGCAACATACAAGGCAATAGGCCGGGCGGTTTTAAATTACGCAGCGCCCATGTGGTCGCCGGGGACTAGTAGGCCGCAGTGGACGAAGCTTCAGACTGTACAGAACACCGCATTCAGGACAGCGACAGGATGCCTCCTGATGTCGCCCGAACATCACCTCCACAACGAGGCACAAATTCTGCCCACAAAGGAGAACAACATAATGCTCTGCAAGCAGTTCCTGATCGGGAGCCACAGAAGTGGCCACCCAAACACACAGCTGCTTGCAGAGGAGCCCTCGCCTAGGCAGGTCAGGAGGCATCTATATGAACTGACGGACGAAGTCCAGAGGTTCAACAAGCAACCTCTGGACCCGTCAGCTTACTGACTGGCCCTGAACGGCATTCACAGGAAGTCAGTCTCGAGTTATGTAGACTCTAGACCTGTGAATGCCGTTCTAGGCACACCACCACCGGACATAGACGAGACGGAGCTTCATCTGCTTCGGGAGACACTTACAACAATAGCCCAACTTCGCTCTAGCTACTGCAGCAGGTTAAACTCCTACCTAAGTAGATTGAATGAGGATGTACCAGATGGGTGTCCGGCATGCTGAGAGACCCCACCTGATTCGAAACATCGCTTCGCATGCCCGGAAACCCGACAACCCTAACGGATTTGTCCTTGTGGACCGACCCGATAGAGGCTGGACGCTTCCTAGGGCTGCCGTTAGTGGAACTTGACGACAACGACTGAGATATCAACCGATCTGGGCGGGGTTCTTGAAGAAGTCACATGAAAGGGAGTCGCCCTTTCTGAAACCCCGTTTGGTGGCGAACGGCTCGGAGATGTATTTTCCAATTCTAACAGAGCTGGTGGTATTGCTCAACGTCATTTTACACGACCGTATCAATTTGGCGTTGGAGCCAGATTCAGAATAGCGGCGTATAGTCGACT